CAAGACTGGAACGAGGAGCTCTATCGTCCATCAGGGAAATCATTTTGTTCAATCTCTCTGATTCTCTAACATCACTCTTTGCCATAATGGACAATCCTTTGACTATCCAGTACACTCGAACACTAAGTGTTCCTGTCTCTGCAGCTTCGAGAAGTTCCTGATGAAATCTATCCTTCAGCTTCTTGGCGTTGATTTCAAGCTTGTCTTTTGTACCTACAATTTCACTCGCAATTTCTTTCCTGACTGAGCAGCATTCTTTCGGAGGTGCTCGCACCAGCAAGAACAGCTTCATTGGAAACCGCTGCAATGATGTCAGAATGCGTCTTTCAAACCCGCACGCGTTGTGTAACAACATCTTCGTAGCAACGAGCAGAAGAAACTGGCGAACGTCTTCTTGACAATCTGGAAGAATCAAGCTCTCCCACTCTGGTGAAATTCCTGAGAGGCCGGGAGGCTGCTTACCAAACAAGCAGCATCATGCATTACGCCGTCACACGCACACAACAACAAATATTTAGATGTCCTATCACTAATATGTGGGTTCTTTGTGCAATCAGCGGAATCTATAAACCATCACATTAATCATGAGGCTTCACTTCATACCATAAGCACAATTTAATTTCTGGAAAAGCACACAGTTTGTTTATTTTGTCTGGTGGTGACATACCAGTGTGTGGTTTGTATGCGTCTTTTGAGCCTTTTGCCACCTTTAGTCCTTTACATGAGGCTTCACACTGCAGACAGGACATGAAAACAAAGCAACAGCGTGTGTTGTTAGCAGCTTCAATTAATTTGTGCCTGGCATTTTAAACCTTGACTAGACTATCGCAACAAATCGTTGACCAATGACAAATGTCTGAAAAAGCTACAAAAGATGCCATACAAAGCAAAAGAGACGTATTGACATTTGAAGTGCGGAGAACTCTGCATGAATTTCATTGGCATGGCCATAGACAAGCTGTGCTAGTGGACCGCCCTTGTCTATGAAGTCTTGGCGAGCAATCTTCTTCTTCAAAAAGTTTGATATGTGAATGAGGGGGCAGCGGCAATGGTTCATCACTTTGATAATTTGCCCCCAGCGTTGGTCAGCCACAGCATTCAGTGTTTGGGCCCTCCACTTGCCCATTTTCAATGAATATGCTTTGGTTTGCTCCACGCTGAGCTCATTCGGAGTAGGGCCTTTGGAGGATTCAATCTTCTTACGCTGGCAATCATTTGATTTCTTTGAAGCTTGCAGTGCTTCTGAGATGCGTCGCATAGCTTCCCAAGGACAGTTGACTGAGTTGTCATCTCCATCCCCAATTTCCTTTGCAAAGTTTCTCAACTCATCTACATCAATCCATTTGTTTGTCAAGATCTCTGCCAAGCAAAAGGCAAGTTCAGCAAAGCCCGCATTCAAGATTCGGCGTTCCAATTCATGAATTCGGACCCACCGTTGCGACACTGGCCGTGGAAACATGCATTTGACTGTTTCTTTGGCACGCTGTGCTCCAAAAAGCCTACAATAGCAATCATAGAGATCCCGCGCTTGAGCGCGACAAGTGTGGCTGAACATTGCCAGTGAAGACCAATAGCGCCAAGGAACTTTGCCTTCCAGCAGAGAATCCATTTGTAGCAAGCTTGACATGACTACCAGGTGAGGTGCATGCTCCAAACAATCCTGGTCCCAAAAATAGATGTTGGGCATGTCAGCAACTTCTGATGCTATAAGGCGTCTTGCAGCGATCTCGTTGGAGCCTTTGTCAGTGCATGCCATGAAGATGTGGTCCGTTAATAGCCTTTGACACAGGAGACAGGTTTGACCATGAGCACATGAGTCACATGAGAAACACAAATTGAAGACACTTCATCAACCAACAATAGTTTGCAACATTGGTCGCTAACTAACTTGTTTTGGAATTGGTTAGTTGCTCGCCTTGGACCTTAGAGAATAGAACTTGAACAACCTGAAAATTTATAAGGGTCCCAGGATCCTTTGCTAACACAGCTTGAACACAAAAAGACTAGACTAGCCTCCAAATATACACACCAAAAAAACTGCGGATGAACATTTGTCTAATCGTTAGGCAATGTTGCTAGCGCGCTGTCACGCCGTGCTTCTATCAGACTTTTGGTCAAGTGACGGTCAAGTGTGTGAATATACTTCTTGTTACTCATTGAAACAATACATACGTTTGAGCAACGAATCATGTTTGTAGTTGCTCTCATGTTCCAGTGTTTAGGTGTTTAAGTTTACGCCTGCGCAAGTCAATACAGAGGAGCACAACACACCACTTTGCCCTGCACAAAAGTTGTACTAGTTCAAGAAAAACTTAAAAGTTTTTTGCACAAAGTGCTAGTCACTCTGCCCTCTTGCCTTGAGCCTCTTGTATGTCTCGCCAGGAAGGGCACCCCAAAGACTTCAAGCCACGCAAAGTGACACCTGCGCAGCCATATCCACTTTCATCCCCAACGATCCCCAGGTCAGCCAGTCTTCTCAACCGAGTGAAGTGTCCCCAGTTCAAGCAATCTTGCAGGTCTTCTGTGACATTGCTGATGTAAGAAGAGTCCAGTTCAAGCGCCACCAGTTTTTGTCTGGTATTGCTGGCGTCCTGCCGGTAGCAGTGAATGCAAATGGAGAAGCCAGTGTTACTGTCGTTCAGTACCTGAGATTTCATCTACCTCAAAGTGATGCCTCGCAGATGCAACCAGGCTAGCACCACATTTCATTTCGCTTCGGCTAACTGTCTTCGCACTCAGGTCTTCTAATATAACTTTACCCAAGTCTGCTTGGCTGATGTTGGACATGTTTCGTCGTACCTTCTCTGCAGTTTGCTAAAATAAATAACCACACAACAGAACAAACAATCAAACAGGTTTATATACTGTATGTTTGAATCGGAATATAACAGCATGCAGTTGTTCAGAGGTCACATGATGGAAGAAGAGCCACTATCAGGGGTTGTGACAGTCACATAGAAGACATCCAAGCCCCTACATGGCAACAATACAAACTAACCGTTATTCAGATAGTAGAAGACAAACTTTGTCTTATTCAGTTCAAGATGCGGCCAAATTGACATAGCCCTTGGAAGTAAGCCAGCTCCACTTCTTGGATGCATTCTCCCAATTCTCATCACGCCTTTGAATGTCGAAGTCCTTCCTGTTTCGTAGAGCTGTCAATTCACTAATGTGTGTTTTCTGCTGTTTCAGCAAACGCTCATTTGTACGTCTCATATTCTGTTGCAGCCGTTTTTTCTCCAGTCTTAGCTTCTGAATCGTGTCATCTTTCTCTTTGAGCATAGCCAAAAGCATTGGTACATCAATTTCATCTCCACCATCAGCTGGTTGATCAGAAAGATCTCTGTCTTGCTCCATCTCAGCTGCACCCTTGCAATCACTTTGCTCAGAAAGCTTGGAGTAAATAGCCTTTCGCAAGCGAACGCTTTGGGGCCTGCAGGATGTATTTGATGTGGGCCCAAACGAACCCTCCTTCTCATCATCAGTAGTGGCAGTGTTCGAATAGCAACCATCTATTGAACTGTTCGGAACACAATTTGATGATGAAGCATCCGTGTTGGACTCGCTGGAATAAGTCTGGCGATGATCTTGCAAAAAGGCACGAAATGCTTCTGGTGAAATTGTTATACCCAGCAGATCGTAGAACATCACTACAAGTACTTCAGCAAAGTATTCCTTTCTGAAGTCCCGCTTGGAACCATTTGATGCCAAAGAAACACCCATGTTTTGTGCTTCGCATGGATGGCACTCAAATAGATGAGCTGTGCTAGAGACAAACTCTGAAAATCTCTTCCAATCAGGAACTCTAGCTTGGTCTGACAAACGTGACCAAACCATCGAAAGTGCGCGTTCATCAAGCACATAGTGCCCCGTGCCCGATTGTCGCACGACCGAATGCACGAAAGATGAGAATCTGTCTCCCAACACTTCCATGGCATTCGAAGAATATAGACTGATGGTCAACTTTATGGTGTAGATTGAGGTCTAGTGTCACACATTATTCATTGGTGGTTTGTAAGGAAAGAATTGTTGCTCCAGCAAAAAAACAGCCCCTGTGGTGTTAGTGTTTGGTTGGATTATGTTCAAAGCCACACCCTGTTTATCGGCTATGTTTTCTGTGGGTTTCGTACATTGAGCATCCTGTCAAAGCCAAAGGCCTACCCAATGTCCACTACCTTCGCAAGCAAGTCTAATCATGTTGTTTGCCCAATGAAATTGAATCAGCATTTGTATTGAGCTTGTGTATGTTTTTTTCATGCAGATGACACTTAGTGTTGATGGACAAAGCATATTCCAACGCAACAAAACATACCGTTCTGTGCCTGGGCGTTTAACTTCAATTGGTTATGATCGCATAAAAAAATTGTATGTCATGTCCAAAGTGTCTATCAAAGTTGTGTGCAGATGGCAAAAAATACTAGGAGTCTGTCTCTGAAAATCCAACAAAGTGCAAAACCATGTGGTACATTTTCGTTGTTGATGCTAAGAAAACACAAAAAAATGTGTGTTTGTCAATAGAACACACAAATCTTTCGACTCCAAACTCAAAAAAACATAGAATATGTTCCTTCAGAATCATAATACGTATGCCTCTAGTGTGTTTGGTTTTAGTTGTCCATGCACCATACCTGTTGTTTTTTTCTTCTATCATCACCACATCACTGGCACAGCTGGACCACACTCACCGATCCAGCTGGCTTCGCCACATAAGCAGAATTGACCCTTACGAAAGCGGAAGTAAGAACTGAGATGAGTCAATTGAGGCAGCAGCACCGCAACGCATATGTATATACATATGATAATATGTATATACTGAGTTGGCCCGTGAGCCCTGAGCTATGACAAGACTGTTGAGGAGAAAAGAGCTCTCTTACCGTCCTCTCCCCTTGACTGAAATAGGTCTGCAGCACGTCCATTTGGGAAGCATAATATAATGAATCCAAATAAAACATCACAGAAACGAATGTTATATAGTAACTAGTAACTAGAAAAGGCCGATCCTGCTCGAAGGAGAGCTGCTCAGCCAGGACAGCTCGCACACAACTGACCAACTCGGGCTTCTGGTTGATCTCTTGCAGCAAAGACTGAACAACCACAAAGCTGTCTGCATGGTGCGGGTCAATGCCAAAGCGTGGAACCACATGCGGCAATGCGTCTGCCAGAATTCGCCGAAAACGGTCAGGGGATGCTTCGTGAAGGCCGAAAATGTCCCGAATGGTTCCGTGGAGGAGTTCCTCTGGCCGCATCCCCCATGGCAAAAGATGAGAAAAGTGATCCACTGCAATCCCAGTCCATTGGCACCTTCTCCACAGCCCCGAAGGCCCACTCTTTCCCGCAGAAGGTCCAGCAAAAAGAAAAGGCCGAACACTGTGCTCGCTGCCGCCACCGCGAACACCATGGACAACTAGCGCTAGTATATGCAAAACAGCGGTCCCGGATACACCTGCGAGGCTAACCTCAATCTGCTCGGCACACCACTCCAGCTGGAAACGCATGTAATCCACAATGTCCTGGGCGTGATCTTGCTTCATATTCACATGCACATGCAAGACCGAAAGGATCCGGCCCTGGTTTGCAGACATCTGGGTCGCTGTCCTCTCGATATGATCCTTCATGCTCTCTCGCAAGGCGGCTTGGGATGCGATGCTTTCCATGCATATCTTGGAAAACACCTTCTCATGATCTTCCACCTCTGGCATTGCCTCCAGGTCGAGAGTTTGGTTCGAAGCGCTAAATGTTGGAACAAGCACTGGAACAATCACATGGCCAGCAGAATCACTGAAGCAGCAGTACAAGTCCTGGAGCAGCTCTCCAAAGTGAGATTTGGAGCTGCGATTCCACTTCGGCGAATCCATCTGGCACTGCAAGAACTCTGGTGAGACCAACGGTGACAACAAAGCTTCCTTTGTCAGAGTCATGGCACCACCCTCGAACTCATCTTGAAGGGATGTACGCTGAGCATTGCGCATAGACTCCGACAGCGCCAGAGTTTGCAAAAGAGTGCTCATAAGGTCGGGGTTCTCCGGGTGGATTGGACAGGCTGGAACCAGGTCTGTCGGCATTTCTCCATTCCTACCCTGCACTGCCGGGCAAATCTTGACAAGCTGCTCCTGCCACTCGAGGACGTCATCCATAGAGGGCAACAAATCTTCCAATTCCACCTGGGCAAGGGCCCCAGAACACATGCAACGGGAAGGCCTTGCTGCTTCATGCTATCATTCAAAGCCCTACCCCATTGCGCATTGGACAGTGACACAGTGACACGCATCAGCCTGAACTTGAAGGGTGTAGGCGAAAGGGGGCAAGTTTGCAGGATGGAAGTTATTGGTGCTGTTGAGTAGCTGTCGTGGTTTTTGGTTGGTCGCTTGTTGGTCGGTATATCGGAGGCGTCGTTGGTTGATTTGCTCGACCTGGGGAGGCGCACTGGATGTGTCTTGCCCGTTTGCTTGCTTGGATGGCTGGGCAATGGCTCCGAGATGGTCCGTGCCTCACTGTCCCTGTGGCGATGCTTGGTCGGCTGATGTTGTTCTCGTCGTGTTGCTTCGCAGTGCTGCTCCCAAGTACTGCGCTCGTCTTGGCTGGTTGCTTCACATCGTTTACCTGGTTGCTTGGACGTTTCAGCAGTCCATCGAAAAGAAGCCCCATAGTCATAGTCTTCACAGTTGCTAGCTTGGTCGGAGCCATTGTTTGCCTTGAGTTGGCGGGTTATGGCTCGAAAATTTCTTAGATGTTTTTCCTGCCCGTAGCTTGGAATGCATTTTGCGGATAGTGTCTGTCTTCCGAAACAAGCACAGGGAAAGGACAGGAAGAAAGGAGAGCCAAAGAAAACGAAACGACAAGAAAGAGGCAAATCAAAAGGGAGTAGGATGGAGTAGGTAAAACGATGAAGAAAAAGGACAAAAGGACAAGGACGAGAGAAAATGGAAAGGGCACATAAAATAGAAGGAAACCACGTGAAGCATGTCAAAGGATTGAGGAGAAAAAAAATTATACCGGCATAGACCCCAGATAGCACTTCAAGAAAAGTTGGATAGCGTGGCAAGAGCTGGAGACAAGCTTGGGAGACATCCCACTCAAAGCCGGGAAAAGAATGGAAAAGGCAAACAAGACCTAAATCAACTTATAACAGCATCCGTGTCAGAGGCAAGCAAGAAAATGACAAGGCGGCAGCGGCAGCCAAGAGCGAAATCAGGAACAGAGACAAGCTTGGGAGACAAGGCGGCAGAGGCAGCCAAGAGCGAAAT